TTTGTTTCTCTCAAATCCTGGAGCTAACTTCGCGAGAGGCTTGGAGACACTGACAGAGACGGATACTGGAAAAAGCTACAGGTGTTTTCCCAGCCTCAGGACAGAGAACAGGACACCATTTTTAATTTCTGTGCATCTAAAGTCAGCCGTTCTTTGGCAACCCAGCAGCGTGGCCATGCAGGCATTTTAGTATTGGGACAGAGACTGGAGCACCTGCTCTGCATCAGGGTAGGGTCCTCCACAGACAGAATCGTGGAAAACATCTCAACAGTAGGCACTGGAATTGTGCTTTCCCCAGTCACAGACCTTGGGTGGGAGGAGAGCTGCTACGGCTGTGGTTTCTCCTGGGCAATGAGACTTTCAGGCAGGGCCAGCTTGATGAACTAGAACTGGTCTGTGTGTGTTATTGCTGGGTGTCCCAGCCTACTTTCCTGAGACTGTGGTGTAGCAGGGCCTTCTCCATTCTACACATAAGGAGATTGCCAAGCATTTAAAGCACTTGCTCGCATGGGCTAGCAGCCTGGGTTGCCCCATCCTTCCTGTGCAGAGATCCTTGTGCAAGGGGGCCATCTCCACTCCATGCCCAGGCAGATATCCAGGGATTCAGAGTGCCATTAGCATGAATCAGCAGTCGGAGCTGCTCCATTCTTCTGGTGCAGAGAAGAATTGCAGTGCAGTGGGACCCTCTCTGCTCCACAGATTTCCAGGTATTTGGAGCACCTCCTCGCCTGGAGCAGTAGCCTGAGCCACCCCATCCTTCCTGTGCAGGGATATTTGTGCAAGGAGACCCTCTCCACTCCACAATGAGGCAGATCTCCTGGCATTTGGAGCAGCCACTCTCCTGGATTAAGAGATTAGGCTGCCTCTGGCACCCCTATGCAGAGAACTTGGGCCAAGTTCCATGCCAAGGCATGCCTCTGGATACTTGGTGGCTGCCCACTGGACTCTCCCTCAGAGCTGGTGCTAGTGCCTATCACTGGGGCACCCGTAGATAGACTTGCTGGGTCTAACCCCATGCAGTGTTTTCCTGGTAAACAAGAATCAAGTGTATACCCAGCCCCATTGGCTGCAACCTGCTGTTACCCATAAGTGCTATCTACTGTCTTGTAGGTCAAAGTACCCAGCCCAATATAAAACTTGAGGACAGAAGTGCATATGGTTGTGGAAGCAAAGCCAAAAGACCCTACCCAGCATTATCCTCAGTCACACCCTCTAGGGAGAGGAGGAAAAGGAAAGGGAAAGAAAAAGAAAAATATATATAGGGAAAGGAAGAAAGATAAAAAATCCTACCTACACAAAAATAATTATAAAAATTAGAAGTGTTAGCATCTTCAGATAAGAATGAATCAGTGTAGGAATGCTGGCACCATGAAAGATCTGAATCCACATTCACATCACGCTGACTCTCCATCAATGGTCCTTAACCAACATGGAAACTCGTAATTGACAGATAAGGAATTCAAGGCATGAACTGCAAAGAAGTTCAATGAGATCCAAGAAAAGGTTGGAAATCGATGCAAAGAAACTTCTAAAGCAATCTAGACAATGAAGAAGCAGATAATAATGTTAAAAAGACATCAATCAGAGTTTCTGAAATTGAAAAACTCAAGGAATTTCAAAATACAATTGAAAGCATTATTAATAGCTGGGCCAAGCAGGAGAAAGAATTTCAAGAGCTTGAATTTAAGTCTTTTGAACTAACCCAGTCAGAGAAAAATAAATCTAAAATAATTTTAAAAAATGAACAAAGTTTTTGAGAAATATGACATTATGTAAAGTGACCAAAACTATGAATTATTGACATTCCTTAGAGAGAGGGAGAAAGGTAAACAACCTGAAACACTTATTTGATAGAATAATTCAAGAAAATTTTCCTAATCTTGCCAGAAACTTAGACAGCAAGATAGAAAAAATCCAGAAAACACCTGCGAGATACTATACAAAGTGAACATCACCAACACATATAGTCATCAGAGTGTCCAAGGTCAAAGCTAAAGAAAAAAAATCTTAAAGGCAACTACAGAAAAAGGTCAGATGACACACAAAGGCAACCGCATCAGGCTGACAGAGAACTTCTCAGCACAAACTCTACAAGCCAGAAAGATTAGATAACTATTTTCAGCATTCTTAAAGAAAAGCAATTCCAACCAAGAATTTCATATCCTGTCAAACTAAGCTTCATAAATGAAGGAAAGATAAAATCT